CTGCCCGCCTCTGCTTCATCTACAGTCAGGATGCAGGATGTTCATGGAGCAAGTTGAGGGACTTGACTGAGGAGGTCATTGGCCCTGAGGTGAAGCACTGGGCCACATTCGCCGTGGGCCCAGGCCACGGCACCCAGCTGCAGTCGGGACGGCTCATCATCCCCGCATATGCCTACTACATCCCTCCCTGGTTCTGCTTCCGACTACCATGTAACACCAAGGCTCATTCTCTGATGTTCTACAGCGATGACATGGGGACCACATGGCACCATGGCAGTCTCATTAGGTCCATGGTGACAGTGGAGTGTCAAGTGGCAGAGGTGATCGGGAAGGCTGGCCCACCAGTGTTGTACTGCAGTGCCCGGACACCAAACAGGTGCCGGGCAGAAGCTCTCAGCACCAACCATGGTGAATGCTTTCAGACACTGTGTCTGAGCCAACAGCTCAGTGAGCCTCCCCATGGCTGCCAAGGCAGCGTGGTGAGTTTCCAGCCCCTGAAGAGCCCATGTAGGTGCCAGGACCTTAGTGGCAGAGATGTGCACAGCATTGAGCAGAGCCGTCTGCTGGACAGTCCACTAAGGCTGCAGGAGGAAGCTGGGATGCCATCCAAATTGTGGCTCCTGTTCTCACATCCAACCAACAAAAAACGGAGGCTCGACCTAGGCATCTACCTTAACCAGACACCCTTGGAGGAGTCCTGCTGGTCCCACCCCTGGGTCCTGTACCATGGGCCCTGCGGCTACTCTGACCTAGCTGTTGTGGAGGAGGAGGGCTTGTTCGGGTGTTTGTTTGAGTGTGGGACCAAGCTGGAGTGTGAGCAGATTGCTTTCCACCTGTTTACAGACCAGGAGCTCCTGGGTCACAGGCAGGGGGACTGCGTCAGCCCTGCGGGAAGCTGAGCTAACCTGACTGACTCACCGCCGAGGACCCAACTTTCCATAGAAAGGAATGGCAGCCACAGCCAGAAAAAGTGAGACTCCTGAAGTCTACAGAGTCCCAGTCGTGATATTCTGCTCCCCTCCTGTTTGACATTTTCCCCCTCCAGAGAGAAAGTAAAATCTTGTCATAGCTGCCGCAGTGGAAGGAGCACTGAGCATGGAGCCAGGAAACTGGGATGTGGCCTGGCTCTGGCACCAGCTTGCTTCCAGACCATGGGTGTGGCTGCCGACCTCTGGACCTGAGGTCTCCGTCTGTAAAACAAGAAGATTGGTTCTACGACTTCTCATCTTCCCATCTCTTGAAAGGCAGAGTGCCTATGGGCTTCATAAAGGATTCTGACCTTAAAATGGAAATCAGAGGGTCTAGAAGGTGGCATGCTGGTTAGGTGCTGGACTCCCACATGGCTGACCATGGTTTGAGTCCTGGACCCAGTAGCCTGAAAATCACACTGGGTGCCATGTGTGTGCATTCTCAAAATCCCGGGAGGAGGATGGAGGAGAAGGAATTGCAGCATAGCTATCCCCCAGGGGTGATTTCTGACTTTCTCTCTCACTGTCTCTCTTCAGTGAGCACTTGGGAAACCTATGGCAAAAACCTTTCAGAACAAAACAAAACAAAACTGAAATCAGAAGACTTACTTCTTCAAGTGACTCATCCCTCATCCAAGCGTGAGGTTACAAGCAGGAGTCACGGCAGGAAGGAAGAGCTAGATGGTTTGTTTCATTTTTGATAAAAGAAACTCCCACACCCTCTAATCATGCTCCAATCTCTACAGATTCTGTCCTAAAGGAACTGAGCCAAGCAGAATCGTGAGGTCTCCTACCTGTCCAGCCGTGCAGCTCTGCTCAACCTACCCTACCTCATCTGGAAAGCTTTGCTTTCTAGAGAAAGCATGAGCAGCCCAATGCCAGACATCCCTGGTAGTGACACTGTTGCTTCCGATGGCATCCAATGAAAGAAGAGCTCAAAGTTCATTTATTAGGATGTATCTTGATGGGAAATGGACATGGTTAGGACTTCAAAACATTGGAAAAACTTCCCATGGTATCTGCCTTCAAGGAGCTCACAGTGTATGGGGCTAGGAGAGGGTGGAAATTCTAGAAATGAGTGTGGGATAGTTGGTAGATATTGGGCTGTGTGTTGCAGTGATGGTAGCTCCTGACATCGTTGTCCCAGCTACATCTTCAATGTGCCTGGGTTTATCTGTCCAAGGGCCTGTCCAGGCTGCTAGGCTCCCCCCACGTTTGTTTTTCTCAGACTGTGGTCCTGACCCAGCTACTCCTTTACCTGTGGAGAAAGTCACCTTCACCATTAGCAAGATCTCTGGTCCCCAAACTTTTGAGTCAGGCCTGTTTGTTTGGGTCTACTGGGATTACTGCTTGTGAAGTAGCATGTCTTTTTCTGCATAGCACTGGCACTTAGCCAGTGCTGGGTGTCAGGTGATACCAGACTGGTTGCTTCTGTCCTATGTAGGGGTGGCTGAATGTGAGCTGAACAGTGGTGACCTTTAAAGACAAGCGAAGGCGTAAACCAGCTCTTCTGAAGCGATACTGCACAGCCAGTGGAGGTTGAAGGAAACTGTTTAAACCAGAGAAGGCTGGGGGGCATCAGCGGGAAGGTGGGGGCTCATTTAAACCTGCAAGATGCTCCTCAGCCACAGGGGATAATAGAAAACACCTGGTTTTATCTTCCGCTTCTCCCTTCCCCATTACCCTGTAAGAAAATAAACTTGGGAATGACTTGGTGCCATGCGATCCCCATCAGACTCCTGCTTTCTCGGCTTCTCTGTTATCTCCAAATCCACCGCCGCTCTCTCTCAGGGTCACATCACCCCACCTCACAGGCTGAGGTAGTCCTCGATTGTTCCTCAGAGCCTGTTAGCCTGACAGAGGTTCCAACATGAGAGACGGATTTTTGATGACCGTTTTGTCCTGTTTTAGGAGGCTCGTGCCTTAAAGTGGGATTACCTACATGTATTTGGTGCTGGGTCATGACAACAGAGGGAGTCTTCATCATGGAGTGCAGCTTAGGAGCCCAGGGCCTGCAGCTGCCCCAGTCAGGTGGAGAAGAACCTTACGGCATCAAAGTAGAGATGAATCCACCTACTTCAATGTGTCATGTGGGCCCAGGGCTCCGAGTGCCCTACACAAATTTCCTGAAGCTCGCATCTATTTGGCAAAGAAATCCTCCCAGGACACAGGATCTTTCAGGCACTCCTGTACACATTTATCTGAAGATTTCAGACCACGCTTATGGCCAGGGCTTTTCTGCTGCCGATTTGGGTAGGAATCGTTGGTGGCTCCCCACTGCCTACGAATGGATTGTCTCCCTTAGCCTGACACACAGGACCTTCCGGTCGCTGAGTGGACAATGCATATGTATTTGCCTCTACTTACACGAAGCCCACTTTAGGGAAGACCTCTGTGAGGCTGGCAAGTGGAGGGTGGTGGTGATCAGATCTCTGTGCTTGGGCCAGGTTCATGGTACAGGAAGGATTTGGGGAAGGAGAGAGGATTAAAAGGGCAGCCCTCCTGATTGGCAGAAACTCCTTGGGCCGCAAAGCCTTCCTGAGCACTATACCCCACATCGACGGGAATGGAGAAGATGGCTAAGTTCACAGCCAGGGCTGAAGGAGGAAGGGAATGGCGACTCCAGACTTCTTTAGATCTATCCAAGATGGAAGGGAAGGAAGAGACCTGGTCACATGCCAGCGTGGCCCAAGATGACTAATGTCAGGCCTTGTAAGAGCCCTCTCTAACTGCCTGCCTCATCCTTGCCCAGTGCCTCGGTTTTGTCTTAATGACTAGCAGCGAAACTCCTGACTGAGAAAGGGCCTGCGTGCTTATTTCAGGAACAGTAAAAAGAGAAGAGAAGAAGAAGAAGGCTGGAGTCAGGGGAGAACCAAAATGAAGACTAGAGAGGAACAGAGTGGTGATGGCAGTTGTGGAGGAAAACAACTGCAGATAAGAGTCCTGGCGTTAGGAAGAGAAAGAAATAGCACTGTCACAGGGTCTAGGTTAGAGATGGCACAGGGTGCTGTGAACAAGAAGTGACAACGGGCTGGAGCTGGTCCCTGCAGTCAGTGGGAAGGGAGAGAGACCTGCGCAGCCAGCAGCTGAGCCAGTAGAGAGGACCTGCCAACTCTGTTACTGCAAGCTGGCTCATCTGGTCTGTTATAGGGGCCAACATAGACAGCTATGGGCAATCCTACCTGTGCTAGTTACTCAAGCTCTTCAGCACCCTGTAGAAGGCATAATTCCGATGCCCTAACTGGGCCTGTTTCAGCCACCCTCAGGCTGGTCGAATGGAAATGATAGGGGGGGTGGTGGCAGTTGTGAAGGGTCCACAGTCACGAAAACAGGACTGCATAGGCTGTGGTCCTTTGCACTCAGAAGCCCCCACGCTGTCCCTGGACCCTCAGAGTGGATCTGTTCATCACATATAGCCCACCCCTGGACCCCTGGGAGTGTAGGAGGGCATGGGTAGGGGCCTCCTGCTGCCTGTGTGTGCTCAGACCTGCCTCCCACACATTCCCTGCTGGCCCTGCCCATGTTCCCGATCTGGTAGACCTCGGACCCTTGTTGCTGGATAGGTCTTATTTGGACCTGTTGATTCTGGCCACCAGTCTCGTCTCCCTTCAGATATTCACAGGTGCAGCCATAGCCGAGTCTTTGACCATATCCCCAGGTCAACCTGAGGCTGTGCAGCCAACCACCAGGGTGGTGGGATCTGGCCAGTGGGCTGCTGCTTCCTCTCCATAGCCAAGCGGTTCCCTCCCCCCCCATCCCGCCCCCCGTGCTGTTCAGAGAGATGCTGTGCCATTCCTCTGAACTTCCCTTTGGTCCTCGCCACAGGCCACTGTGTGTTATTGTCCCATTGTGCCCTCTAGGCTTCTGCTAGGCTGTGACCTCATGGAGGGCCACGTCCACAGGACCCTTTTCTGTGTCCTTGTCACCACTGATCACAATGACTTATGCATAAATATTTGCTTTTTACCCCCCTTTAATTTGCCACAGACAATGCGCTCTAACAGAGAGAAAGAGAAAGAGAGAGGGGGGGGAGAGAGAGAGAGGAGAGAGAGAGGAGAGAGAGGAAAGAGAGAGAGAAAGCACCCACCACGGGTTATGGTCATGCCACAATCCCTTCTCCTCCCCATTGCCTCCTACAGGATGTTTACATTTAGCCTGAAATGCAGAACCTTTCTCCTCTCAGGATTTTGGGCACACATGCCACGAGCGACCAGCATGTTCAAACTGCCAGGTCAGGCACTTGAACCACGCAGTTGGCTGTGTGGTATCCAGCGGTCTTTACCGCCAGCCCACCATCTGGCTCAGTAATTGCTTTTCCTACCCTATCCTGAGCTCCCTGAAAGTGAGGACTATGTCTGATTCCTCACGTTGTCCTCTTTACCCAGCCCAGGGTCTGGCACGGAGCCGAGGGCAGCCTAACTCTGCTGAGTGAAAGAGTGAGTCCAAGACCTTTGGCCTCTCGGACCTAACTGAGGAGGCTGGGGGTGACCGTAGCACAAGGAGGCTGTCACACCCCTCTGCAGACCGCGCGTGTTGGAAACCTGTGTGAACACTCCCCCTAAATGGTTTTCTCTGTGCTGGTTCGCATCCAGGCGTGTCACAGTCATTGCTGGGCATCGCCTTTTCTCTGGCTTGACCTTGGTCCTGCTGCACCTCCCAAGGATCCCAGTTCCCGCCCGAAGGCAGGTCTTGCTTCAGG